ATAAAAAATTTTTCAGACCAGTGTTCGTTGTGCATTCTTTTCGTTTGGGAGATGTTCATTTCTAATCTGACGGCGTTTCATCTTTCTGTAGTGCAACGAAAGTTGAACTACGTACAACAGCGTTCGCATTGGCGAATAGTGAGGATTAAGTAGCAGGACCATGCAACGAATTACTATTCTTTTCCGAATACAGATAACTTCGGTTGATATGGAGATGAACAAAAGGATTTTCACTTTGTTGGACAAGCTGGTTGAGCATATGTCAATTACTTCAGCGCTTGAGCTTCTTGCGGGGCAGCCGAAATGCGGCAGAAGGCCAGCAACAGGTTAGGAGCAGATGTGGTTTACGACAAAAAATTTTTCCTTCTGAGATGCAGTAATGGGGCCCTTCTGGCAAAAGTGTCGAAATGCTTGGAATACAACGGATTTCACTCACCATAGACGTTGTGGTTATGCTAACCGCTTAAGACGATTATCTCAACAATCATATTGCTGCCAGACTGTTTCGAAACTGAAACATCTTTGATACCTTTACTAAATGTGAAGCAGGTGATCTGATTTGGGTCTTTCGATTAACTTAAAACGAAGTGAATGGAAATTGGTAGAACCAAGATCAGCAACTGTCTGACCTTGACATCAAAGTGAGCACGAAGAAATGATCGACGTGACCTGTCTCGCTCGCAAGTAGTACTGTTGGTTTCAACAACCTAACCAGGTTGTATTTTTCGTCACGTATTTTGGTGAAAACCGAATTTACCTGGTCAGTCAACTGTGCACGTAATGTGAATACAAATAGACACCTGCATACTTTAAGGTGTGTAATCATCCAACTGTATTTTCCTCTGTCGTAAGTTTCTGCTTTTAACTACTGTCGGTGGTACGCTGGTGAACCGGTGTTTATTGTAATGCACGTCTGTTGAACACTCTTCCTATAGTTGATTAGAAGATTGCTGGTTCGAATGCTCTTGCAGGCGGATTGCCTCTCTGCTCCGTTACATACT